CCCCTTTCTTCCCTTTTCCTTCTCTTTCCTTTTCTTTCTTCTTTTTCCTTTATTCCTTCCTCTCATTCTTCTTTCTTCTCCTGTGTTTTGTAGTCTGTGTAAGTTGAAATATTTTTATTTCTTTCTCAGTGATTTTACTTTGATGTTTAAAATTTTTCCTTATTTTTATAAAGTGCTGATATTTTTGCTTTCAACTTTACTAACTTTGTCAGTTCTAGCAATCTTTGGTAGAGAATAGCTGTGTTTTTCTGTTTATAAAAACCCAGGTATCGGCAAGCAAGGACAGTTTGATTTCATTTCTAAATTAGACACTTTGGTATTTTTCTCTAACTTTTTTTTTCTCCAGCTAGAATCTCCGATGCTGTATTGAGTGAGAGTGGTGTTGGTGGGTGTGTTTTTGTTCTAAGTCTTAGATAAAAGTGTTTCAGTCTTTCCCATTGGTATTGGCATTGTATATGTATCCGCCTTATATTGCCTGTTTATGCTGGTGTGTTCTTTCTATACCTAATGTCACGAGGAAATGCTGAAGTTTATCAAATGCCTTTTCTGCTTCTGTTTAGGTAATTGTTTGGATTTGCCCTCATCCTGTTGGTGGGATGTGCCATGTGTTTTCATATCTGTTGAATCGTCTTTTATCCCTTGGATAAGCTCCACTAGATCATAGTGTCAAAGCCACTTTTAAAAATTGCTTCTTCCAAAGCTTAATTTTATGTTCTTATAGGGCCGATGGCAGCTGACATGAATTAAAGACCTCCTTCTAAGACCTTGGGATTCGACTTTGGGAAATTAATTTCTTAAGAGCGTGCGTTCTAAGTAGCCCAAGGAAAGACACTTGGAGATTGTGGTCTTATATCTGTTATTAGAGTGGCTCAGAAAATGGATAATGTGTTTGAGGATTTTAAGTGGGGTTCCTCCCTCACCCCTTATCCCAGTGTTCACAGAAAGGTCATAGTCAGGCCTGAGTTGGTTTTTGTTTCTTCGTTTCTGTAGGCCTATTAATCTGATGCTGTGCTGTTTTTTTGTGAAACAAGATCTCACTATGTAGCCAAGTCTGGCTTCTGTACCTGCCCTGCCTCAGCCTCCCTGGTGCTGGGATGACAAGTATATACTGCCATGCCCAGCCAGTCTATTGATCTTCATGGTCCCCAAGGTCCTTAAGAAAGTGACTTCTTTCTTTTTAATTTCAGCAAGAACAGAAGCAAAGCAGAGAGCAGCAGATCAGAGAAGACTGAGAGTCCTTGGTGAGGCTGAGGTTGAGGCTGGAAGATGTTGGCTGCTGCGAGGCTGAGGAGCCCTTCATTTTGAGGTGGGAGAGCCTGTTTTGGCAGGACAGCTTCTCCATTTCTGACCTCACCATGGCTTCAACTCTCTGGCTGGATGGTTGATGTGACTGTGTGTCCCACATGCTGTCGGACTGCGTGACATCCAGGTAGTGCCTGCTGCTCACAGGGTGTGGGAGCACAGCCAGTGGGCATCAGATGCTCCCAAAAGCTGGACCAGCAGAGTGATGGACTTGGACAGGCTAAGATGGAAGTGACCTGAGGCCTCACCCAGGCAGTTTCTTCACAACAGGACAGCTTAAGAATTGAAACACAGGCTCGTCTGGGGAGCAGTATGCCGGAAGCTGGTTTTCAGGCCACAAATGCGTTCACAGGTGAGAGCACTTGCCACTTAATTGGGAGGCTTTGATTTTACTGTTAGGTTGTGGGTAACAAAATAGCAAACAACTGTATATAGCTCAGAGGAGTGTCTAAACATAATCTGAATGCTGTTCAGAGTTAAGGGTTCAGGCTGCCATGGTGACGGATTTTGACGAAATAATAATATTCTCCACCTTCTTTAAATAGGCTGTATCATTAGCAGAACAATGCATTAGTAATTTTTAAAAGAAGGGATTGGAAAACTCTCCAAGGGGAAACGTATTGCTGACCAGTAGTAACCTTTTCCTTTCCATCCTCAATTTTATCTGTGTGCTAATGCCATGGTGGGGCCACGGTGGCTGAGATAACTTTGCACTTAGGATCACGTGCTCGAAAATGAGCAACTAGACATGAGGATTTACTGTTGATTTTCCCTGCTGACCATCAGTTTGCACATTTTACAAGGAACTGCTGTGCCGGGCTAGTGCTGGGACCACGACCTGAGATGATGCAGTGGCCTTGGACGCTGAATTCTGGCTCTTTTCTGGTTCACTTAGCATCCAGTGGGAAATGACTTCCTCTGCTGGGCTTGTGGTTCCTTTTTTATTGGGGGAAAAATATAGACTATAGAGATAATGTTTTTATGTTAAAAAGAATCTTCTGGAATGGAGGAAAATATTTTTACGTAAAAAAGGGCCCCTTCTTTTTGTTTGTGTGTTTTACTTTGAAGGAAAGACGAGAGAAGTAGTTGGAATGTGACTCTGTTGCTGTCCCTGTGAATCTTAAACTGTTGCTTTTCAAATTTTGTATCGAGAGTAGGTCAGGTTGTTGAGGTGCCTGGACAAAAGGGGTCAAGGCTTGGCATTGAGAGCCACAGGGACCCTTTCCTGGCTGATCTCAGCTCCTTGACAAGACTTTCAGTTCTTTTCCATCTCTCTGTGAATGGATTGCTATGGGGCTCTGCTGTTCTGCTCTGAGGAAGGCTAAGAACACTGGCACAAGATGTTGAGTCCACAGAGTTCTGTTGTCAGGGGGCCAAGCTCAGCCCTGTCTGCTTCCCATTCTCACTGTGAGAACATGGGTTAACTCTACAGGCCTCAGCATCCCTGAATGCAATCTGGGGGGCTGAACTAAAAGCGCCTCTGTCTGGAGCGATGATTGGGGGGGTGAGGTTATCCTCAAATAATTGCGACTAAAAAGATATTTAAGCATTCACTCAGATGACATAGAACAAAGCTGAGCTCTTCAGCATCATCTCCGTCAGCTTAGGCCGCAATCCTGACCTTCTAATTATTGCTTCCTCATGTGCCTTCAGTTGTCTTGGTTTTAAAAACCTGTTTATTTGTGGATGTCATTTCCCTTCCTGTGGATAGTAGTGACTTGTCACCTAGCCTCCTTGATACCCAGAAGGCAACTAAGGATGGAAGGTGTGTAGAGATACATGTCAAGAGGGTCCCAAGAGCAGTTCTGAGAAGAAGAGGGGTTAAGAATAGAAACAGGAGAGAAACTGGGACTAGGGAGAGCATGACTCCATCACCCCAGCCTAGACCCTGTGATGGCCCAGAGGCTGTCTCTGCTTCCAAGGATGTGAACAGTTCCTGCAGCTGCCACTTCCTTCCTGACTCCTGAGGCTGTTTCCATGCCTGCCTTGCCATCCTACACAAGTCACTGCTGGTTCCTCGTGGTCTCCACTTAGGCACATGCAGCCCTCCACCCCAAGGACAAAGGAAGACAGACCAACCTGGGGTTCTGTGTGAAGCAACAAGCGGAACCCCCACATTCTGCCTGGAGAATCCCTGATAGGTAACATGGGGCTTTTCAGACATTAAGGTCCATGGAAATGATGGCTGCCACTGTAACTCCCCACTGCGTCTGCCCCCTGTATTCCTTCCCCCCACCACAGCCTTGCTCAGTCCATGCTCAGGCGGCTCCTCCCTAGCTCACATTTTCTTATCTCATCCTTTTCCGAAGAACTCAATTTCTTTATCTTTTTATTGCTTCCTAGTTGTGTTGCCCTGCTTCAGTAACAATCACTCGAGACCTGGGCATGGAACGCAGGTCATCAGACTTGGTGGCAAACTGCCTTTGCTTACTGAGTCATCTTGCAGCCTTCAGTGATCTTTTCAAAGCTAGCTATATATTAGACTCACTGGGGAAACAGACAGCTACTTACTTGGGTTTTGCCTTCAGAGATTAGAATTTAGTTATTCTCTGAATCACCTAAATCTGCTAAGTCAGGACCTTTATCCTAACAAGACCTCTGATTTTTGTATATATTAAAGCCTGAGCACAAAAGCCAGGGCCATACAGACAGGAAACAGTATCTCAAGAGAGACCAATGATGTGTTGGGAGAGTTAGTTTCAAACAAAGGTGTGGCATTTGTTTGTACCTTTCTTAACTAATCTTCTCATTATAAGATGCTATTAGGTGTCTAATATTATTTATGGTGACACATTCAGGATGATGAGATTTTTTTTAAAGCTTCCCCACATTTCTGGGAAGCAACTAGTGATAAAAATAAAGGTTGATTTCAACTCTCAACTGATAAGATCTAGAGTCACTTGGAAGACGGGCCTCTGGAGATGCTTGTGTGTGGGGATTATATTGATTGAAGTGGATGGCACCATTCCCTGGGCTAGGAATCAGTACTGTATATAAAGGATCTTAGGGCAAGCATCCATCCTTCTCTGCTTCCTGACAACGAATATCGTGTGATTGTCTGCCTCAAGCTTCTGCAGTTGTGATTCTTCTGTCACAGTGGATTGTACACACCGATATAATCTGTGAGGCAAAATAAGACCTTTCCCCCTTAAGTTGCTTTTGTTAGGAAGTTCTAATCATAACGCCAGGGAAAGCAGCTAAGACAGAAAATTGGTAGTGAGAAATGGGGGCTTTGCTGTAACAAACTTCATGATTCTCAGGGAGGAATGTGAAGGGATTGGGCTGTTACAAACTGTAACATACTGCAGAGCTTATGAGTGGTTCTGGTGGATCTTAGAAGACAAGAATGTCAGGAAATGTGAATTGTAGAGCCTGCCTTGTAAGGTGTTAGAGGTGAGCAAAGACTGTCGGGAACTGAGATGGAGCCATTCATGTGATTTTAAAAATTACATTTATTAAGCCGGGTGGTGGTGGTGCACGCCTTTAATCCCAGCACTTGGGAGGCAGAGGCAGGCAGATTTCTGAGTTCAAGGCCAGCCTGGTCTACAGAGTGAGTTCCAGGACAGCCAGAACTACACAGAGAAACCCTGTCTCAAAAAAAAATTACATTTATTTATCTGCATGCATGTTTATGTGTGACCAACATGTGTGCCATGGATGCGTGTAGAGGTCAAAGGACAACTTGGAGGAGTTGAGTTTCTCCTACCTTTTAGGTTCTGGGGGATCCAACCTTCAATCTTGATGGCAAACACACCTACTCACTATACCATCTCAGCAGCCTCCGTGTGCAATGTCTTCTGCAAAGAGTCTGGTTTCATCCTGTGCCTTGAGAACCTGAGTGAAGTTGAATTTTAGAATGTTGGACTAACTTGTGTGGCAGAAGAAATCTGGAGACAAGATAAGATACAGGCCAGTGCTGAGAAAGCAGCTGTGATAAAGAGGTCAGTGTTCTGTGGAAGAGGAGCCTGCACGTCACAAGGACAATAAGAAAGGCCAACAGGTCCACCCTGTGAAGATTCAAATTCATCTAAAGGAAGGTGGCCTAAGTGTAGTATGAAATGAACTGGGGTGAAGGTTATGATATAACATTGATACAAGAGTCATCAGAGAGGAAGGATCCTCAGTTGAGAAAATGCCTCAGTGAAATCCAGCTGTAAGGCATTTTCTCAATTAGTGATCAATGGGGGAGGGCCCAGCTCATGGTGGGTGATGTCATCCCTGGCCTGGTGTCTTGGGTTCTATAAGAAAGCAGGCTGAGGAAGCCAAGGGAAGCAAGCCAGTAAGCAGCACCCCTCTATGGCTTCTATATCAGCTCCTGCCTCCAGGTTTCAGCGCTGCTTGAGTTCCTGTTCTGACTTCCTCCAAGAATCTCGGAAGTATATAAGCTGAATAAACCCTTTCCTCCCCAACTTGCCTTTTCATTATGGTGTTTCATGGAAGCAATAGAAACTCTAAGAAAGACACCCTCCTTTGTAAGTAACATCTGCTCATTGTAAGAATATTTGGAAAGCCACAGAGAAGTCAATAAAAGAAAATGAGTTACAGATGTATGTTCATACAGATGTGTTCATGTGCTATGTAAGTTTTCTTTGTGTTGACATTCTAACTTAGAGTCTTTCAGTCATTTTCTTTGAGCAAACTTCTTCATAGAGACCTGTGTTCATAATGCTTGTTCAGTTTTATAAGTGGATTGTTTTTAGTATTACACCATGAACATTTTATATGTCTTTACATTACTGCATAATTCCCTTTATATACTTGATTTTTAAAATCATATCCCCCTTGCTGAAAATACACACCTTTTACCTTGATGAATATCTTCATGTAGAAAGGCTCTTCTGTAGACTTATTTCCTTAGGATAAGCCCCTAAGACAGAATTAAGGGTCCAAAGTAGTGAAATTTATTAATGCTTATGATGCAATTTCCTAAGCGCTTTGGTTAATCCTTACTTTTGAGGCCGTGCTAGCATCAGTTTTGAGATGCCAGTTACTTGTTTACAGCCAGTGTGTTCTAAATCAGTGGTCTTATCACCAACATTCGGCTGAGATGGAGAACCCCTTGTCTGCCTCCCACATACATACAAGAAACTCTGGAACATGCTGCTCTACAGGCTGACCCAATACTGCAAGTGAGGTTGATTGCCTCCATGTTTAGTAATGTGGGCTGGTTAAAAACTTAGGTGGTCTTAATTACACTGTTTTGATTCTTCCTAGTGGCCTTTATTCCGAGCTGTAGTTTGTTGACACAACGGTGTATTGATGTAGATGATAAACTCCTGGAAGATAAGACATTGTGGTAAAAACAAAGACCTGGTGCCTCTGGGCAGAGAGAAATAGAAGTTTAGGCTGGGT